TAAAAGTCAAAGTGTTGCATTTGTTTAAGAACGGATGTAGTATTTCAAAATTGTAGAATTTTTTGTTAGTGCAAGTATGTTTTGTTTCATTGGAATCATCGGGTAGAATGAGTATAGTTGTTGTAATTAGTCTATTTAGGTGAGATAAGTTCTATAAGTTTGTGATTTTCTTACCCATTTGGGAGGGGAAATCATTATTGTTTCTTAAAAAAAAAAGATCGAAGTTTACCAACTTTGACTAGAAATGATAAAAATGGCTAAATAAAAAAGGGACGGAGGTAGTATATGATTTACAAATTAAATCCCAATTTTACTTGTTGCATTTATTCTCTTAGGAGAGTATTACTTAATTGACAAAACTATCCAGAAAGATATGAGTACTTGACGTCGTACCCTGAGACACGATCATAAGAAGTGTTTAATCTCGTGCATTCATCGTTAAGAAGTTGTATTGAGAAAGCTTTTGGTGTTGTTAATGTTTGGTGGAAGATATTACAAATAATGCCAAAGTATTCATTGATCGATCAATATAGGATTACATGCTCATGTTTTGGATTACATGGATCAACTTTGGATTTCATTGATGACGTTTCTGAATTCATACCCCTTGATTTTATTCAAGCTCATCCTACGCAATTTGACAGTGGAATGAGAAATCATGAGATTACGATTGCTCATGATAATATTGTTTCAAGTCTGATGGCATAGAAATTTTGTTCTTAAACTATTATAAACTTTTGTTATTAGTATTAGTTTTAATTATTACTACCTCTGTTCGCCTATTATTGATAGGGAAGGGAGTAATGTGGTTTTTAAGAAAAATATAATTAAGTGGTTGATAATGAGATCATAAAAGTGATAACAAAACAAGAATCAATTAGAACCACACATATATTACCAAATATATATGGTATGCGACAAATTTAGTGAGACAGACATAAAAAGAAAAATGAGACAATTATAGTGGAACGGAGGAAATATATTTTTATATAGTTAATTTTAAATCCTAATTAACTCACTTATATATTACTCCCCCTGCCCCTAAAAGATTTCCCAAATTTGATCGACACGAAAAATAATAACGTAAAAAATGCGTAATAAAAATTAGGATAAATAATATAAACCACAAATTCATTACTTAAAAATCAAATTTATTACGGAGTACTCAATATGGGTGCTGCTTCGTGTACACGTCGGGTTACACGCAGATCAAATTGTTTGTGTATAGACAATTTGACCGGCGCTACAGACAATTTGACTGACGTTTTATGAAGAAAATTGATTTTCATATAGACGAAAATAAAGAAGTTGTCTGTATCACAGACATTTTAGACGAGAATTTTCATATAATATCTGTGATACAGACAATTTTAAACGAATTGTTTGTGTGAAAATTAGTATTCTTCATAAAACGCCAATCAAATTGTCTGTAACGCCGATCAAATTGTCGGTATATAGACAATTTGACCGGCGTGTAACCGGACGCGTAAAAAGTGACGTGTACAAAAGGAATTTTCCACCCAATATTACGGAGTACTCCGTAAGAATTAAGTTAGACGTTTCACTGGATCCAAAACATTGAATGAAAATAGATTGTCTTTGTCAATTTGTCACGTCAATTCATTTAATTTACTCTAAGTATTTCGATTATTATCATTATCTTCAAGTACATCTATGAAGTCGTCTCTATCTATTCCATACCCGACCAGGGCTGATTACGATTGTCAGTTCCCCAGCAATGACTGTAATTAGTACTCCGTAATTACGTAGTACGTAGTACTTCTTTTCTTTTGGATGCGACCAGGTCAATAAATCAGAATTTTCATCAATTTATATACAACCCTGTTATAGGTTTCATAATTTGTACCCCAGCCTATTTTTGTGGCTCACAAAAGTCCACCTTAATAAATGAATTATCTCACTTTAATGAGGTGATTTTGTGAACCACAAAAATAGGGTGAGGGTACAAATTGGGGGTACCAATTGGGATACCTTTAGCATTTTTCATTTACATATGCATTCATTTAGCTTTTTTCAGTTTTTCTTATAATCAGCATGGTCAATATGTTATAACCCGGCATTGTGGATATATTCCTCCCCGTAAAGTTTATTTTAAATTAATATGGTTTAAATCTTAGCTCCCACGGTTCAACTATTAATTTAATTAGAACTAATACTTAATCTAGAACAATGATGAACATTGATTTTTTTCTCTTATATTCATTAATTTGATGATTTTATTTTTATATTTTCAAGTGAACTTTGTAAATTAAAGATGATATGTATCTCGTTTATCGTCATTTTGCTATACTTTTTTTTAGTTGTGTTGCATTATTTGTGAATTGTAGAATTGTAGTACTACGTAAGCAATTTCTTGTAACATTTTATGTGAATTGGTTGGTGTGATGATATCTACTAATTGCAAAATGTTTCCAAATCTTTTAGCATGTGTTTGACATTGTACCGTACCGTTTTATACCGTTCCGAAACATCATGGTACGGAATGGTTTCATCCTTAGAACCGGACCGTATCGGACCGTTAGAAACCTCACGGATACATTACGGGTTTTACTAATTTACCGGACCGTTCCGGACTGCGCCCACCCTACACAAAAGTACTTATTTTACCAAACACTACCAACTTTTACTTTTTCAGAATCACTTTTTTCTCAAACACTACCAACTTTTACTTTTTCAGAATCACTTTTTCTCAAACACTACCAACTTTTACTATTAATCACTTTTCCTAAAATCACTTTAAAAATCACTTTTTTAAAGTTGAAGCAATTGCAAACACTCCCTTAGAGGGCCGCATGGAGGATAGAAGTTAACAATAACTCAAATGCCAGTACCCCAGAAGTATCAAAATTCCATACAAACTTTTAAAATGCAAACTTTTATTAGGTACTTAAATGTGAGTACCTAGTTACCTACTAATGAAGTTGAACATATTCAAGAAATAAATACTCCCTCCGTCTCTTAAAACTTTGCCAATTTCCCTTTTTTGGATATCCCACTAACTTTGCCACTTTCCCTTTTAAGTAAAGAATTTGTGATTCCAGTTAATTCTCTCTCCTCTGCACAAACCTCAACCACACAGTTTTTACTTTATTAATTCCCGTGCTGGTCAAACTTGGCAAAGTTTTAAAGGACAGAGGTAGTACAAAACTAACCTAGACAAATTTGTGTTTGGCATACTAAAAAATGCAATGAAGTGTACTAACCTGATCGGAGACGGTGGTGGCTACTAGCCGGTAGTGGTCACTATGACCGCCGATGGTCACCAAAGAGGCAAAGAGCATTGACTACTACATGTCAATTCTAGGTGTTACATTGACGTTTTTTTGTAGCTCTAGTAACTATGGGGATGATCGATGGATCTAGTGGAAAGAAATGTAGAGCTCGTTTGACGGCTCTATTTTTCGGCTTGACCTATCAGTCAACTTTTTCATCAAACACGTAATTTTTGATTTCGCGCGCTGAATTGTGTAATAATAAGAAAACGTATGGATGAAGTTACTTTTGTAGCTGTATTGGCTGAAGTTGCTATAAAGGATCATTTTAACTATTTTTACATATAATTTTTTCTTTATTTTATTACTAAAATATATTTTAAATATGACTTTTTCATAAATAAACAGAATCAGTCAATCCAACCACTCCACCCAAAACTTCATAAATTTTAGCAGAATCAGCCAATACAGCTGATTTAGGTATTATCGTACGACCTCATAATTGTCTTCTTAATCCTTTCAATCTCATTTTCGAAAACTAAAGAAATGTTTCGCTTATATCTATTGATTATTAATTTGTAGTAATAATATTGTGCTAACCCCTAGATATTGTATACTCCCTCCATCCCACTAAAAATGGTACAAGAGAAAGTGACACACAAACCAATAAAAAGTGGTGTATGTGGTTGATATTGAATTGATAAAGTAAGAATGACTTAAAACCACACAAATTTTACCAAATTTGGTATAGGACAATCGTAGTGGGACGAAGCAAAATGGTGAAATGGGACAATCTTAGCGGGGCGGAGGAAGTATCTTTCATTTGAGTTTGGGAAAACTGTGAGGTCCCCGTAATTTTAAAATAAGGTAGATTCTATGGTACTCTTAAGGTACCATACCTTTGTCCACATGGACCAATAGGAATGATGCAGTTGAATTAATTAAATCTAAATTAAAATGAATAGAATGATTTGGACCAATCAAATGCATGGTAGGTACGGTACCCCAATTTTTAAAAGGGTACCGGAGTTGTCACCTTAAAATAATCAATCAAATTCCTGAACTTTGTAAAAAACATTCAATTGAGTACATTTGCAGGTTACTTGCCATGTCAGCAGGTCACCCGCTGACGTGGCGCACACATGGAGGTCCACATGTGCGCCATGTCATTAGAAAATGGCTGACTAAACTTCCACATGTACGCCACGTCAACAAAGTTACTGCTGATTGACTGCCACATATGCGCCACATCAGCGAGTGGCTTGTTGACATGACAAGTAACTTTCAAATGGAGTCAATTGAACATTTTACAAAGTTCAGAGATTTGATTGGTTTTCTAAAAGTACAAAGTTAGTGCTAATTGGACTGCCACTTGTGCGCCGCATCAGCGAGTGTCCTGGTGACATGGCAAGTATCAAATTGACGGTTTTCTTTTGTGTTTTGTTCACTTTTCTTGTTCTTTGTTACAAAATTTTTGGTTCTTCTCATACGATCATAAAAAAATCAATCATCATTTACCACAGTGCCGCAAAGGCTCCCACCTACGGTGTGGTAAGGGGGTCAGATGTACGCAGTTTACCTACGTACTAAAGCACAAAGAGACTGTTTTTGGATGACCAATAATGAAAATCGCGTACAAAATTGCTTGGACTGACTGCTGATTTATAAAAAAGAAAAATAGATTGTTTGACGAGTCATTTTACTTTATTCATTAAAAAATAATGAATCTTTATATTCATTCCAAATGATTGAAATACCATATTTTTTTCAAAATTTCCCCACTTTTTGTAGAACACCAGAAGGGGGCATCAATTCACGACACGAGGGATGGGAGCACCCAAACGGCTGAGAGCCTGACGACACACTCGCGTCCGTTCCCCTATGTCGACGACGAATGCTTATGCCGGTGCTCGATCCGGCGGAAAAATAGTTAATAAAAGGCACAGGAAATTCTCAACATTCACCCCATACGACCGTCCACCTCCGCCTCCAGCACAGCAAAGCCCCAATTGGCTCACCGGTGTCGTGTTTCCGGCCACTCGTACTATTGTCTCTGGTGCAGCAAAGTTGCTGTCTTCCGTCTTCGATTCAGACTCTTCTTCTTGTTCTTCATCTTCGGCGTGTACACACCCTGACAGCAATAGCATAGAAGGTGCGTCATTATTCTTTTTGCTAATACTCGCTCATGTCAGTTGAATTTATTTTATCTTTGAAATATGATGGAAAAATGTAATCAATTGCGTCGGCATAACCCCCTTTTCTAGTATCTATACAAAACATGCACTTATCTGTACAAACCTAGAAGGCAATGTGACCTGTTCTGCTTTGTGCAAAGTTGCAAACTAATTGACACTACTTCAATCCTCTTGCAGAGGATGACACCAAAGATGACAATGATCATGATAAAGACGTCGAATTATTGAAAGAGGTAAACTGCAACAATTTAATGCTGATACATTAGGAAAGTTCTTGATTATAAACACCATCAACTTATTCATTTAGAGTTCATAGGTAATGTTGGTTCAAGGTGCCTTATCCCTTCACAAATTATATTTGAATCCTCAATACCACCACAAATTGAAGAAGTAGTTAGGAAGACTCCACAGATGAGATTTTTGTATGCATGTAAATATTTCATTTATGTAGATAACTTCTATCATTCTATGCAAGTTGGGTGCACAAGTTTTATCATTTTGTATGCATGTGGGCATGCTCTAACTTGTGGAGGAGCATTAGAAGTTTTACAGTGTTCAATTGTTCATGGATTGATATTAGGATGAAATTTAAGTAATAAACTTTAGAAGTATTAGGAACTTAATTCATTGATTTATACACTTAGGGAGTTAGGGGTGGCCAAAGGTAAGTGACCCTAAACTATTTAACACCACAAATGATTTTTGATAACTTTTGGTTCTTTTATGATTTAAACCACAATATCACTGAATTAAGCACAACAGGCAAATCTATTTTTATGAGACAGTATCTTAAATTTATAAAAATCTAAAATTAATATAGTATGAACTTATTGCATTACAATTACTCTCCATGTTATCTATCCTAGTACTCGCCGAGTACTTGCTAGTTGCTACTCAGGGCAGGGCCTTGCTGATTTGTACCCTGACTCGCACGGTTACATTTGTCTGAGTAACTCACCTAGTACTCGGTGATCTTCTCTACTTAGTGACAAGGTTGACTTGCCGAGTTATTTGGCTGCCAGCAAATTGTTTTTTTTTTTTGGAGTTTAACATGAAAAGGTTAAACTAAATTGGGATGTTATGGAATTTATTTATGAATATGCAGGTATCTTAAAATTGAAAAAATAAGATTACAAAGTGATTCTAGAATGTGGTGGTGTGGAGGATGAAGAAAAAAACAATGACCTTGAACACAATGAAGATTAGTTTTAGACAAAATTTCAGAATGATGTAATATTAGGTGATTAAATTTCTTGGAAGTTAGAATGTTTTTTATTGTTGTGATTTGTTGCTCATTCATTATTAGGATTATTATTATGTTATTCATATTTAAGAACTATAAGACTAATATATTACTAGATTTTTGGAGCATTTATGTTTTTAAAATTTAATTAGTATATGACTGAGTAATCACTGAGTAATCCCAAGTAATCCCGAGTAATAGATCCTAGTCTCTACTCGATCCTTGACTGAGTTGCCATCGAGTAGCGATTTAACAACTTAGATTACTCCTTACAACTATGATTCATATTATTGTACTTGTTTTTTAATTTCCATCTCTTTAAGTTTTATGCATTCATAAAACAAATCCACAACTCGGTGAATTTTAGTTGATATTTTGAGTCAATAATTTGTACGGTGCATATTAAGAGTTCTTATAGGACATATTAATAATTAATAATTAGGAAATTTTGTAAGCCACTCATCCCACCTCAGTTTTGGAAAAGTTGAAAAATCTTTCTTCTTCTTATATTCAACATTTGAAATATTTATAATTTTGTTATATTTTCGTTGAAGAACATGATTTAAAATGACTTGTTGGTGTGATTAGATATATCTGTCGAAGCATGCATTACTCTTTATCCATTAACAATTGATTGAGTCCATCTTAAACTTTTTTTTACCTCAAATTATAAAGTAAAATGATTTTAGTATTGTTTGCAAAAACAGACAAACTAATTCTCCCTCTGTCCCATTTTGTAAGCTACACTTTCCTTTTTTGATTTTCCCAAACATATGAGTGCTTTCCTAAATTAAATAATTCTTTTATCTATCATCTTTTTACTTTTTTTGTGGACCCATCCTTTTTCTTACTTTTTGGAGGTTAGAATTGTAAAACAACTTTCTCCTTTATTTTCTTAAAACCTGAGCCAAACCCAAGTATATCTTACATATGGGATGGAGGTAGTATAAGATTTTAGTGCATCTCTTCTTGGGCCTCAATATCTCCCTAGGGACAGCGCCGTATACCCTCATAGTGCAGAAATGACAAAAAATGTCAATTTGGCCCTAAAACTATCACCGTTTCATTAAGTTTTAGATCTACACTAAAAATAGGTCAGTTACCTCGTTTTTTTGTTTCCAATTTGAAAATATATTTATATGCCATTTGTAATATATAAAGAGTTTCGTTTATATTTATATACTTATAAAATTCGTTTGGAGTACTACCCTGCCCCAAAATAAACTTTTCACTTTCCTTTTTGGGTTGATCCAAAATAAATTTACCACACAATTTTTAATTCTCTTATTATGTGCCAAAACAGCAAAACCTAGTGGGAAGTGTATAATGGGACAGAGGGGTATCATTAATATTTCATTTTCGACATTATTTTTCTAAATCAGTTACCAATCCTTTCCTTGAACATTGCAAGCAAGCATAAAACGTCAGCAACTCAGCATGGAGTTTTTTCTCAAAATAATGCTAAACAAAAAAATATTTCCGAAACTAGGGTCGGTTTAATAATATTTCCCAAAATGCAGTTGGGCTGACTAGGGTTAAGAAAACCGCCACTTCAAGTGGCGGCTTATGTGCAAGGGGCAAATGACGCAGCGGACTAACAAACCCATAGCAAAGAGTATAATAATCTCATGGGACCCATCTAAAAACGAATCATCTGTATATTTTAAATTGATATAACTTTTTCGTTTGTACTCCGATTATTATAAAAAAATATATCAAAATTAATTACTTTTTATTATCTTTCATATGACACCAATATTGAATATGTAAAAAATAAATAACAATTTAGCGATTTTATAAAAACTTATGTTTTTTAAAGTGGTGTAACTTTTTTATTTTGACTCTGATTATTACAAAAAATATATCACAATTCATAACTTTTTATTATATTTCATATGACACTAATATTGCTTATATAAAAATGAAAAAAATAATTTGACACTTTAAAAAACGTTTGTCTTTTAAAATGTTCGTAACTTTTTTATTTGTCTAATGTACTCATACCAAATTCAACTAACAATTCAATCGAGAAGTCATTCAAATGAATTCTTGAAGATAACTGCGCTTTTAACTGCGCAGTTATCTTCAAGAATTTTATAAAAAAGTTACAAAATTTTAAAAGACAAACATTTTTTAAAGTGTCAAATTATTTTTTCATTTTTATATATGCAATATTAGTGTCATATGAAATATAATAAAAAGTTATGAATTGTGATATATTTTTTGTAATAATCAGAGTCAAAATAAAAAAGTTACACCACATTAAAAAACATAAGTTTTTATAAAATCGCTAAATTGTTATTTATTTTATACATATTCAATTTTGGTGTCATATGAAAGATAATAAAAAGTTATTAATTTTGATATATTTTTTATAATAATCGGAGTACAAACGAAAAAGTTATATCAATTTAAAATATACAGATGATTCTTTTTAAGATGGGTCCCATGAGTTTATTATGCTCTTTGCTATGGGTTTGTTAGTCCGCTGCGTCATTTGCCCCCTTGCACATAAGCCGCCACTTGAATTAGCGGTTATCTTAACCTCAGTCAGCCCAACAGCATTTTTGGAAATATTATTAAACCGACCCTAGTTTCGGAAATATTTTTTTGTTTAGCATTATTTTGAGAAAAAACTCCTCAGCATGTATAAAATTACTATTGAAGATTATTTTTAATAAATAATTATTTCAGGTGGCAGGTCAGTAGTGAAATCGTTCCTAATGGGTTAAATAATTATATATACCTGAAGATACTTTCATGTATGGCTTAAATTGATGGAAAATATGCCTAGACACCCGACTTATTAAAATCTTGACCGAAATTGAAAAGTAGAGATCTATAAACAAAATCTGCATGAGTGCATAAGATAAGGACACTAAATTTATAATTCGGTGGTGTACGAACTACGAACCAAGAGATGGAAGGATTTCTACCTTCTCTACTATGTGTGCCTCAATGACATTATGGCAGTTTCATACATTTGATTTTGGTACAACTAACAGATTACATTTTTATCTGCTTTTTGGTTCATTTTGTTGTAGTTGTGCCTCACCAGTGGCTTTTCACTAGTGCTTGCCACTTGGGCCACCATTCAATTAGTTTCAACATCTATATGTGGCATGTTGATGAACTGAATTCGGGAGTAATTAGACTTATCTAGGAAAACCTATGTTTACTGTTTCAGTATTTCATATGTTAATGATAGTGATGACTAAAAGTGCGATACGTGACTATGTAATAAAAATTAGAAAAAAGCAGAAAAGCTGTGCCAGACAACTGATGCTTATTTGAATCAGTGTTGCATAAGAACAATGAACATCATTGTATCTTGAAAACTGATACAGCATTGGTGGTATTCTTTTATTTCTAGTTTTAGTTATACACGCCCCTTATCATTATTAATAATTTATAAATATTAACTTTATTAAAAACTATTAAAGAATACTTGGACTTCATCAAAAAAGACAGACTATGCTGCAACAGATGGTGAACATAGTGAAGGAATGAGCAAGAGCAAATGTTTAATCGAACAGCTACTTATGAGGGAAACTTTTTCAAGGTAATATGCTATTTGAAAGCTTGTCTTTTTTAATATTTTATATTGATGGTTCATGGTTCATATGGACTGTTCAAGTTTGTCAAACAGTTTTCATGAAATCTCATGTTTCTATGTTTGATTGGATTAATTAATGTGATTTGTAACACTGCTGACCAAAAAGGGCAACTCTAGTAAAATACATGGTATCTTCTTTGATTCAAAAATGTTAATATGATCTACAAAGTGATGAGATCTCACTGAGTAACTGTAGCTTTAGTTCTGAAAGTTGGATTTATTGAATAGTTGTGCTAAAATGCTGAGTTCTATCATATGAGAAATGTTTTGAAGACAAAATTTACTCACACACAACACTTACCGGAAATTAACAAGCACACGCTGTTTTTTCAAATAATTTTCTGTTGCAGATTTCTTGGTATTGGAGCATGCAGTTATGCACCTTTCTGGGGCTTAGACACATAAAGTGAATTTAGATTTTCTCTAGGTATAATCTAGAGATTGTAAAATATTTGTAAATGTGAGCAGTGTAGCTTAGCTCTTGAAATTAAGTAAAGAGTGGATTTCATGAAAATATCAGCCATGGGAAAGGCTTTGCTGGTCAGAAATCTAGAAATCTGTGTAATTCTGCTTTCTAGATCATATGTGGGTGTAGAGGGATATGGTAAAAGGATTCCATGCCCTAGGGGAAACCAGAAAAGTAAGACCCAATAAAGGGGTTCATGTAATTTTTTTAACTAAGGACAATAAATTGGTCGAGTTTTGATCTAGTTTACTAGATACACCTTATAGACGGAAACACTATTCAGCTGTCATTCCTTCTGAGTAGTGTGGTAGTGCCAACATGGGTAGCTTTGCCGGCCCTTTGCATCTAGTTTACAAGATGCATCTTATACATGGAAACGCTGTTCATTTTTTTTCCTATTAAATATATACTGTTAAAGATTTTTTATTCTAAAGCCTAAAAAAGGTAAGTTTAAGTGTATTTTAAAATGTCCATGATAGGCCCCTAAAATAATAAGATGTAATTGATTGCTCCATCTTTCCTAAAATAATCTTGTTGATTTCCTTTTTGATCGGTCACAAAATAAATTTCATGTTTCCCTTATTGCCTTAGTTCAACCTGAATCTTAACCACACACTTCCATTTTCACTGTACTTCTTAATAGGCGTGCCAAGTCAAAACAAGAAGATTATTTCAGGATGGGGGGAAGTATCATTTATTGAGAATTAATTATTTCAATGCAACACTGCATCAAAGTGTAGCTAAGTGAATATCGCGCAGCACAAGAGTAAAGAAAAATCAATACAATATTAAAAGCAGAATAGAGTGCCTCATTTTAGTTCTTCCTTCATTGCTTGATGCATTATCAATTTTCTTTATGTTAGTTTTTGGATTTTTAAAATTTGCAGACCCCTTTTGAGATTATGTTGCAGAAATATGTCTATCCCATATGAATGTGTTCTTTATTATTAGTTGTGTGTTGGTTTTCCACCAATATATTTCAGCTGCATAATGGACTTGCATCTCTTTCTGACGTATCTTGTTTGTTATCATATTTACCAGGGCAGAGTGTGAGAGGTTTATAAACTTGATCAACTCCAGAGCTGTGGATTCGCCAACACTCTATTATGGCCTCCAAGATGCAATACCGGATGGAACCACCGGTAATGGTGCTGCGTTTATGTTACTGCATTTGTATCAACTCATTTTGTGAAAGTTATCGATTTTAACGAGGTACAATATTACGGTTACAGGTACCTTGAATGCTTGCAGTCAAGCTATTATTGAAGCACGAGAATGGTTAAAAAACAAGAAAGAAGATTTGCACTTAGGTCCATGCCTTGTTGATCAGCCAATATCTTTTATAACTGAAAATGTAAGCACTTACCCCCCCTCCCCCCTCCCCCGATTTTTTAGAATGACATCTATCACAACTTATTGCGGACCCATTTGTGAGTCATGTCTACATCTGGCGCAAGAAGCAGCCTAACCCTCAAGCGGGAATAAAATCATTTGTTATTTCTTTATATTACTTGGAAGGGGAGCCTTGGTGCATAGGTTACGTTGTTGCTGCGTGACCAAGAGGTCTCGGGTTCAAGTGTTGGGTGCAGCTTCTTTCCAAAATGACAAGGGAAGGCTTGCCTCCTATGCACCCTTATGGTGGGACCCTTCCCCGGATCTTTGCAAATGTGTACCAGGCTTCCCTTTTTCCCCTTACACTATTTTTCTGTATTACTTTAAGTCTGTTATAATTATGAGTTGCAATAGTATTGGACCGTTCTTTCCTATTACGGTTCAGCTCTTATCTTTGCCAACAAACCGTGCCCATTGTGTGTGGGATTGGCAGACTTCCATATTCTGGGCAATGCTCAAATGTCGGATTGGCCGCCTTCCATATGAAACACCTTCTCCGGAAATGACCGCCTCTAAGTTTGAACCTTACAAAGATCTCTTTTAGTTAAATTGATCTGCTGTGGTGCTACTTTGCTATTAAAGATGACCTCACATTGTTTGACTTATGAGTGATGGTATTGGTTTGACAAAGAGTAAAACAAACGCTCTCAAGCTGGGTTTCTTGCTTATGGGTTTTATAATTCTTTCCGTTTTCCTCAAAATCCTTATGTTCCATTTGAAGTGGTTGTGAGTGGCCAGTTATACTTTTTCTGATTTTAGAAGTTACATCAGATACATCGTGTAAAAACCAAATCTACTCATTCTTTTAGGAATGAGTGAACCAGTCAAAAAGTGCAAGTGTTTGCACTATAAAATGAGACTGGAGATCTTTTGAAAGAGACGAAGTTCTTGTGCCAACATGTCAAAGAAAACTAATGCAGAGAAGTTATTGATAGTGTACAATTTCGATTAGGAGGCTTGTTGGCTGTTGCATTTTTGTACTTGTTCTCCACGTGCATATGTTAAGGTACCGATGTGCAGTGGGGGTTTCTCTTATTTGTACCCCCATGGAGCCATGTAAATTTTGAAAATTGAAAATCATATTTTCTAGTTTCCAGAATCTGTTTTTTAGTTTAAAAATAAAACTGCAAAATGAAATTTGAAAACAACTCAGGACGGGGGGCCTTAGTTAATATTGGATTCTATGGTAGATGCTTTTTAGCTGTTTGAGTCATTATATAAATTTTAATGTTTATATCAAACACATTGATGAAATGGTGGATAGCTCTGGAAGTTCGAGCGTACTTTAGGTTTCTGTTCCATGAAATCTCTGTAGTAGCAGTTTCTTAGGTATTTCCCAATGTGTACAGACTACAGACAAGACTGAGAGGCTCACTGATTTAGAAGTGTCAGTCATGGGCATTGTTGTCGGTGCACAGGGATGAACTTTGTGCCTTGTGTTTTCTTTGACTACACTATTTTGTTCCAATGACCTTTTCAAACAGTATTCTGCTAGTTCAGTCAGCTTGGTATATAAAATGTTTAATAGAATTTGGAGCCTTTCCTATTATAGGAATCACATTGCAAAAGCTTATATGCCTTTTTCTGCATTCCTAAAACATAACTGAATTTATTATATCTCTTCTGCAGTTTAATGCTTCTGGCAATTTCCAGTTCGTTATACTTCTAGAAGCATTAAGATAATACAAATTGAACAATGTAGGATTCTTTATTACAACGGTTTTATTTATAAGGGTCCTTCGTACATGTTAAAATCTATTTCAGATGGAAAATGTAGATGGCTCTCCTATATATGTGGCAAAATCATATATGAAAGCTCGTCCTCCATGGGCATCTCCTTCTGCCGAGCATGAAACAAGAACACCATCAATGAAGTTGAAGCTTTTCGACAAGGGAACTCCTTTTCCTGATGGGGTTGATTCTACATCCTCTTCACGGGTATGCTAAGAGCTGTTTTATTATCTTTGGATATTGCATGTTCACATTTTTTTTTAAAAATAGAAAGGTGTCTTGCAAATATGTGATCATGAAATCATGCGTAATATTAAAAGGTGCTTGAATGTTTTGGTGCTAATTGCCCTTCAACATATGATAGTAAGCAAAATTTGTCACCTATAAAGGACATCTATTCAATGCCTCATTTTTCATTGGAAATCTTTTTTGTTAAAGAATCGCCTATTGTTTGGTTAAAGTAAGGGTGGAAATAGAGAGGGGAGGGAAGGAAAATGGAAAAGTTTGAAAATATGTCATGTTTGGTTTCAGTGGAGGAGCAAGGAAAATAAAAATTAAATATATGTGTGTGGGGAGGGTTCTAGTGAGAACCCCTCTTATAATGAGAACCTTTTTTAAAATGAGAACTTCTAATCTCCATCATTCAATTTTACAATCAAACATCAATAATGACAAGGTGGCATTTTTGTAATTATTCGGGATTTTTTCCAAAAAAGCCCCATTTGAATTTAGGGTAATTATGAATGTGACCCCATGTCAATCTTAACCAATGATTGCACTAAATAAAAGGTAGAGATTAGAAAGTTCTCATTTTAAAGAGTTCTTATTTTAGGAGGGGTTCTCACTAAAACCCTCCCCTATATATACGGAGTATATCAATGACAACAACATCAACATCCAAGCCTTAATCCCAAAAGATTTTGGGGTTGGCTAACATGAGAACATCCAAGCCTCCCCTATATATAAATATAATTAAATAAATATATATAAATATATAAATATGCATATATGTTGAAGTGGATGTATGCCTCTGAGTTATATGCCGGAGAACAAGTATACCCTTAGCTTCAATTTTCTTATGGCAATTAAAAATACAAACATTGTAAAAGTGGAAGAAATATACACTTGAGAACATCATGTGCCTTCATGTGATTATGTCCAATGGTTGAGGGGTATGCATGTTCTCTAAATATATAATTTTGTATTTAATTATATACAAGGGTATCTTTGTTCCAACTATAGAATTTTTGTGTTTAATTGTTCCAAAAAATTAGAGTATTATATGTTATGCTACGTATATTATATAGTTCAAGGAATATTTGTTTTCTACTGTTATGTACAGCCTTTTTATATCACAGAAAAAAAATGCTCTTGCATCTGGATCATGGAATATACATGAGGAAATACGAAGAGTTCGTTCAAAAGCAACAAATGACATGCTACACTCCCCCCCTGCCAAAAGAATTGATCTGCCACTATTGTCTGAACAGAAAATGAAGCGGAAAGCTTTTATTGATTCAAAACTGACTACTATGGGTGACATGGCAGTACTGGCTACTGATATTGGATTATCTGGTTAGTCTTTACCTTTTATGATCCCTTTCTGACCTTTTAGATTTTCATTTTTTAGTCTGCACTTGATGTTTTCCATCATTTGCAATGGAGCCAAAGATTCATTGTTTTTTGGCTTGAGAATATGATATTATGATGGAGTAAAGCAAAATGGCTCACTAAACTTTGTGCGCTTCTTTGTTATGAAGCAGCAGTCAGTCCATTCAATTTTGGACGCAATTTTCACTATGGGTCATCCGGAAACAGTCTCTCTGTGCTTTAGTACAGGGGTAAAACTGCGAACATCCGACCCCCCCTTACCCCACCGTCGGTGGGAGCCTTTGCGGCACTGGGGTAAATAAAAATGAAAATGAGTCTGCACTTGATGTTGGACATGAAGCTCATTTTGCACTTCTTGCTTTAGAGATCAGACAATTTGCTGGAGAGTCAAAAACTGTGCTACTCAAGCCATCTGAAGCACAGGTAATCTATCAACCCAAATATTTTAAAGTATCTTTCTCATATGATCCATATATGCACGCTGAACTGATTTTGCTATTACATGGCCATTTGATGTTAACCCCCACCACCATTAGATTACATGTCATCAGTCACTTTCATTTCCCGTTTTATATTATTTAAAGGATAATGAACGAGCTGAAGTTGCTGGAGTGTCTTCTGCTTTCGAGTCTCATCACCACAGTGGTCCTGTTCTCACATCAGAAAATGTTGATGGTAATTCTTTTTTATTTTTATGTTTGTATATCATTTTACTATACTACATGTGGACCAAATTCTAATGATGGAAGTTGGTCCTTTACATGCTTGAATAAGCACATGAATTTCTAAAAAATGTTGACAGTTCAATGTGTGTAGGAAAATGATCTTGTCAGCTTCAAGAAGGAAGGAATCACAGGAACTGTTGATCGTGCTCACCATTGTTGATTGTAACAAATGGTAAGCATGATCAGCCGTTTATGTCGTTCCTTTCCGACTAAAAGCGTCAGGCACTCAGGCAGGACTGATCATTTCGCTGTTTATATATATAGTGTACATTGAGTTCAAACATTTGACCTTCATACAGTAATATGCAGTAATTTACCAAAATTATGCAGTAATAAACTCTCATCCGTAAATTAATTTCCCACTTTCCTTTTTGGGGTTCCCTACGATTAAGTTGACATTTTGTTTTCTGGTATTATTTGTTTAGTAGAAGACTATTTTGCCCCTATAAATAGTAAATCATTAGTTACCCACTTTCTCCAACATATCTTTTGCAAATTTGGAAAATCGGGGACACCAGAAGTCAAACTATGAACTTAATTCGGGGACACGAGAGCATCAGACAATTTGCATTCTTATTTGCTTAAGATATTACATGCATCTAAATCTCTCTCTCTTTCTCTCTCTTGCATGATTTTATATCCTAAACCATCAAATAATAATATAGCAGTGAAAGGCGTACCATCCTTGGAAGTTAGGTAATGATATTTCTCATGCCCTGTCTCTCACTTTACCACACCCCTGTTTTGTATATGTATCTTTTTGTTATCATTTCTGCTCTATCTGACATGCAGTTTGCTTGGAGGTGGAGAACATGAACAGATGCAAATAGGCGCATTTCCAAGCACCGAAAGACCGAGTAATGATGTTAGGGCGGTGCAGGTCAAGTGTGACTTTCTAACCGAGTGTCTTGAAATACCTAATTACGAGAATGAGCAGATGAGTAGTGGTAGTAGTAGTACTCCAAAATAGTTCTAACACGCTTTAGTAATAATATTTTATCGTAGAGTAACCCCCTTTCTCATCGCCCACTTTATTAGTCTTGCACTCTATTGTAGACTAGGCTAAGCTAGACTAGAATGCTTTGGCATGCATGCTTCCATACCTCCTGTAGTTCTTATTAGTATTTAGTATATTATTGTACATTTTTTGAAGTTTATTTAGAACATATTTTTGATGTTTTGTTTTCATCCCTTTCAACTTTGATATATGTTACAGATTTTAATTAGGTCTGTTACAGATTTTATGGTAACCAATCTCACTTTTATTTGTTACTCCGTAGTAGTTATAAACCTACATCAGTCCATCTAACAATGGACTTATGGACATTACGCGTGACAACCTCACAGAAAGACATAAATGACAGATCGAGGAAGACACTCTTCTCCGTTAAAATATACCCCGCATATTAATATCACTAATTAAAATTTGCACATTTTAAACTTGCACTAAGTTCTATTGAATCGTAAAACTCAATTTGAATACGTGAGAATGTGAGATTAAAAGATGGTTAACTAAATGAATTGCGTATGGAAACTTAATCTCGGATGGATATAGTATTTTTTGTCCATAAGCTCATTTGATTCAAACATCGGAGATTATTGTGTTTGAGACTAGTTCTTTTCAGACTATACATAATAGTTTTCTCAAAAGTAATTTTATAAATGCATTTACGATCACATGCTTTTTTCATCCAGCTGCCTGTCTTAATGTTGGACATCTCAAATGCTGAGAATCACATTGAAATTGTACGCGTTTTATGTTCAGCTCTGATGGTCTAACATGTCATAACTCAATTCAGGCATGGATGGGTTTTAGTTTCAGTTCTGAGCCTGAATTGGACTGGGAGTCTGGGACTGTCCAAAATTTTTATCCCTAAATGAAATATTTTTCGGTGTATATAAGTTTATCTACACACATAAACTTGGTCTCTAATTTGGCATTAACAACATTTTATTCATCGTAATGTTATCTAAAGGTATTATGGGCTTATGGGGGTGTTACTGGATGTTGATTATGATGATGATATCTTACAGAAATAAGAAGATTATATTTTTTGATAGATCAGAAGAAATGTACATTAAATAGCTGTGTTAATTAACATTTTGATATTGCACCACGCATGAGTATGTGTGTGTGTGCATCCCTTATAATGAAAAAAATATTGTTGGTTTGCATTGATCTCATCATGTTTGTAAAAAATGTTACACTTCAACTGAATATGAACGACATATCAGAACCCTTTATTAGTTGTTAGACAATTGCCGCCTCGTAATTAAAAATAAAAAAAGCTCTTCTGGGGTTTTCTTAACATGTAGATGCCATCACTTGGGTTCTTGCAAAGATATAACAGTCTCAAAGGCCCCAGCCAATGCCCTCACCTTATTCTTCCTCTGCTCACGAAGCTTGCTTGCAGTCTCCTCAATCACATCGTTGGACACCACATTCTCGTTCCTGGTTCCTCGTACCACCTCCGACAATTCATGAGTAGTTTCAGTAGGAGCATCAATGACATTATTATTGTTCTCACTGGTTTCCTTAACTTCTTCAGCTAACTCTTGATCATCCTGATGATCGTCTATTTCCTTCGTCGTTTGTTCTTCTTTTTCTTGCTTTTCTTCAATGTTGTCACAAACTTGTAGGATCTTCTCATTACTGTTTTCTTCAATAGGAATATCATCATCAGCAAACTTTGTGTCAACGGCGACTGAAAGTGTTTCTGTTGTAGTTGTGCTTTTGTTTTCCTCATCGTCTTCATGTGGATCTCCTTCTATTTGGGCAGTTTCCTTGCTTTCTTGGATACTTTCAAGCTTGGTGATCTCTTCGGGGTCATCATTTCCTTCATCGAACGTGTCAAAATTGTCTTCTGAGTCTAATAAGGAGCCATTTTCATAAGAAGTCAGATCATCTAATTCCTCATCGTCTGTGAGAAGAACATTGTCTTTTTCTTGTTGTATAGCTTTGGTAAAAACCTCTGTGTCTTCTGCTACATTGTCTTTTGCAATAGATGAAGAGTCTTGATTAGTATTGCTTGTGATTCTCTCTTGCCTCTTGGTAATTCTTGGCCTCGAGGACAAGGTGGTGCCAAGCTGCTTTCGAGTTTTATTGCTTGGTAACTGATTGGTTGCCGTTGTTCGGTCAGAAAGAGACTTGACTTGATGATGGGTGGTAATGGAAGAAGATTTGCCAACTGATGAGCTTGATCTCAACACTTTTCCCTTGGCCCCACTTTTTGGCATGGTTTGGGATGATTGTGGCTTGTCCAAGCCATACTTTGTTGCTCTTGGCACAGAGGGCTTATTCCCTTGAGTTGGGCGGCCTTGGGAGGTAGGGGAGGAAGCCGAATGCGACATGTCGAAAGATCTTCTTCTGGCTAAATATGGCTTCTTATTATCTCCTGCCGGATTCGGGGGGTGACTGTCAAGATGATGTGATGGGGGTTTGTCCAAGGATGGTTTCCTTTTGGGGATCACAGAAGGCTGCATTCTTTTCTTGGCTTCAGAAGATTTTGGTTCTGGATAGCTTGGGGCTGCAGAAGCAGCACTTGATGAGATTGACTTTGGTGAAGTGGTGGTGCTTCTTTTATGTTGGGACACATTATCAAGATGAGTTGCATGTGATGATGCTGATGGAGATGGTATTCCTTTCTTCTCCTTTCCCTTTGCTCCAATCTCCTTCACCCTTGTTGCCATGTTTTCTTGCTTTATATGTGCCAAATTAACTTGCACAATTTCAAATTAAACCGACCTGCCTTATTAAGAACAAATCATATATCTATGCCTCACCGGCCAAATTAAATATAGTAATATAAGAACTTAAAGAAATGTATGCGTGGTTGGTATTGTTTTTGTTAACGTCAATCGCAATCATACAACCATCGGGTATCATACCAAGGAAAATTTTGAAATATGGGAAATATTTGCAACTTATTCATTTTTGCCTTGTTATTGGAATGTTCTCGGGCGCGGATTCAGAAATTTAGATGCCCTGAGCTGAGCAACAATTAAACTAGGCTTAAACATTAGCGGGGTGAGCAAAATACAAAAAGCGAGTAAATTTATACTAAAATCAGGAAAAAATTAAGTTATTCTAAACTTTAGCCCACCATAACTTTGTTGACATTAAGTAATACAAAGGTGCTGAGACCTTTTGCATTCACAAGCATGTTATGCCATTGCACATTCATAACAACTTTACAATATAATGCAAATAGATGAAACATGTATGTATTTCATATTATGCTTGGGCATAAAAAGAAGAGGGAATTGAAGTGGTCATGGATGCACCTTAATTAGATGAAACAGGAGAGAAGCAAGAGCTCATTTATTGACGTAAAGGCCGGGTAGAGGAGAATGCAAAATAGGGAAAGGAAGAAATAAAGAATATCAAGGTATGAAAGCAAAGAGCATAATAATATTTCATTTTTGTAGATTGATACATGCATGCATTATTATTGAATTTTGCGACAATATCGCATAACCTTGCATCCACTAATGGTGAAACAATTTAAGTGTAATTGATGGCCACCATGTAAACATGCGCCCTAACCTGAGCAGATCCACGGTTATCAATGATCAATCTCAATTAAAAAATAGTCGATCTCGTCATAATAGATACGTAGTACTATGTTATACTTCGTAATACGTATCTATGCCCATGCCCCAGGACCGGCCCTGTACATAGTACTAAAATATTTATGCGGGCAGGATAATAGATACTATCGTACAATACTATCTCCATCCAGCTATCTTTTATCCTTTTTTTCTTCATCCACCCCGCTAAACTTATCTCTTATTATAATACGTATTTAATAATACTTGTGTGTCTATACATGATTTTTACTTTCCTCACATTTTATAAATTCACTATCAACTACATACAGATAGGCATGGACTGAGTCCAGGCGGCCTGACCCGAGACCGGCTCGAGACTGGTCCTATTTGGGACCGGACCGGGACCGATTTCCCGGTAACCGGACCGGAAAAAAGGGACAGGCACTGCTGTAATTTTTGGAACCGGATCAGCCGGTCTCGGTCCAGATCCCAATAGACATATTTTTAATTTTTTTAAATAAAGGGTGGGGTGGGATTGGGGTGGCATGTAGCCGTTGGTAACGGCTAGATGATCGTTAGGGGGGATGGGCCGGGGAGGGTTGGGCGGTTTGGCGGGGTTTGGGGTGGGGATTAATAAAAACTATAAATAGACTTATTTTTAAACATTTTCCTACACCTATTCTTCAATTCTTCCTACTCTCTAACACTCTCTAATCATGTTCATCTTCATACTCTCCAATTCTCTCTACACAAAAAAACGAAACACGGCCCGACCCGGGATCAGACTGAGACCCGGCCGGGTACCCGAAATGGAATCAGTACTGGATTGATACCAGACCCCATTTAAATGGACCCGGAACCCGTGGATCGACCCGAGTCCAAGACTACATAACAGAGGTCCAAGCAAGAGTGAAAGCTGGGGTGGATCGATACAAATAATTTTTTCAGATATATTTTTACTTATAAATTCTTATACTAAACAAACATTTTTTCAAATTTGGGGATGGTCGGGACCGATCAAGCGCACCTTTACCTTCTCCCATGAGAACATTATTCTATTTTCTTAATTATCGTACCAATTCAGGGGCGGCCCTAGGGGGTGCAGGAGGGGTGGGCGCCCTAGGCCCAAAAAAATATGAAAATTGTTTAGGCCCAATTTTAGTTCTTTATAATAGGTGTGAGTAGGCTGGGCTGAGTTTTCAGCCCTAAACTAATAATTTTTCGGGTAAAATGTTTTTAGTGCTTCTGGCTAGATTTTTTTATGAAAATTTATGAGCATGTTATCTATTAGTGTATATAATGTTCACAAAATCTCAGTTTAAAATTCAATCTAGAAGTCAATTAAATAAATTATTAAAAAACATTGCGTTTTTATGCATATTTTGCCGCAATGTATTTCAATAATTTATTTAACAGACTTCTCAATTGAAATTTAAGTTGAAATTTTGTGAATATTAATCAAAACTTGATGAAAAACATGCTCACAAACTTTCATAAAAAAATTACACTTCGAAGAAAATTAATCTGGTGTGATTATTTGATTAGTTTAGTCACTAATTTCATTCACAATTGATTGTTTGATTTTGTAATTGGCGATTGTTATCTATTGACTGACGGTGTTATAAAATCGGGAAGATAACAATAGAAAATTTAGAAAAAACGACACTAAGT